TGAATTTATTTTGTCTTTTTAAAAACAAGAGATACATATTATTCCTCTTCTATATATAGAAATCTCTGCTCATGTTTGACTCTTTGCAAAGGTTTATTTTTTTTTTTTTTTTTTTTTTTTAATTCAAGGCCTTTGAAAGCAGTTACCAAGGAAACTACAGAATAGGTTACATATGTTTCACTTACACCTAAAATAGGAAATCTTGCTGTCAGCTATAAATATAATTCTATGAAAACCCCTCCCTCCAATACTTTCAGTGTGTTTCTTTAACCTACATACCACTTTTTAACAATAGTGCACACATACTGTGGTGCCTGCTCTGACCGGGCTCTGATGGATCTTCCTGGCTCTGTCTAGCTTAGAATACATATTTTTTCTCCTATTGTGTTTGGGGTTTCTCCCTCATGTCCAGTGAAGTCGATACCTGTCACTCCACAACAGCTGTCGAATACTTTAAATCCAGACAGAAAAGACAAAGACAATGACATAAAAATTTATGGCACTTAGAGAATTAACTTTGCTAAACTAATCTTTGTAGAAGCCTTCTAAATCCAGACAAAAGAACACGAAGCAAGATGATTTCCTCAGTGCCGGGACAGCAGCAGTGATTTAAAAAATGTTGACATATGGCTTAACATTTTTTTTTTAATTTTATGCTTTAATTCACTCTTACATCAAGCTTTAACTTTTGCCTGAACTCAAAACAGTTATTCCAGGGATCTCATAAAGAAATTTACCATAATAAATCTTATCATCATGATCTTTGTAGAAACTGTGAAATAAGTTTCTCAGTGTCAGTGTTTTCCATTGATCAGGGTCAATGTTAATTAAACTGAACTTGGTGGTACTATGAGAACAAAGATGAGTAAGACACAGTTTTACTCTTAAATGGGACTCAGTCACCTGAAGATTAGTAATATACAGGGTGGTGGCCCCCTCCTCCAAACTGTTCTTTCTACATCCAGGTCTACCCCTTTAATCTGTGCTGTCCTCTATTGCCAGAGGATCATCACAAAAGTCAAACTTTTCTCAGGTCTCAAGGAAATCCTTGATGACAATCCATAGCAATGATGGGTGAAGCCCAAATCCCTTAGCACTGTCTATCCTGTCCCCCTCCATTGGCCACGCTCATGTCTCCAAGCTCATCTCTTGTTGCTTTACCACTCACTTTGGAAACTATTGCCAAAAATTTTTAATTCATATTTTTAGTTGTTGATGGACCTTTATTTTATTCATTTATTTATATGTGGTGCTGAGAATCGAACCCAGTGCCTCATCCATGCGAGGCAAGCACTCTACCACTGAACCACAGCCCCAGCTCCCACTCTTACCAATATTTTTCTTCAACTATCTTTCATATTCTTTCTGACTTCTAGACCTTCATATTCCTTCCTATTCCTCCTTGACCATTTTCTAGATGATTCCCTCTCATCTTACAGATCTATTTTTATCTATCACTTTGCCTATGGAATCTTTGCTGATTCCCAACTCCTATCATTGATGCAATTATCACACTGTTTTAAGTGTCTGATTCCCCCTCTGGGAAGGGAAGGGATCCTGCCTTTCTTGCTTAGCACAGACATGTCCTCCACCAGGCATTTTGCAACTATTTATAAATTAACGAGTGAATGAATTAATGAATGAGTGATGAATGCTATAAAAACCATTTTCAAAGAGAAAATGAAAACCCATGTTAGGTAAAAATTCATTCTACCCCCAGTGCCTTGGTCAGCTTTCTTGCCACTGTGACTAAAAGACCTGACAGGAACAATTTTCAAGGAGAAAAAGTTTATTTTGGGGTCCATGCTTTCAGAGGTCTCAGTCCACAGATGGCTGACTTCAGTACTCAGACCCTGAGATGAGGCAGAAAATCATGGCAGAAAGGTGTGAAAGAGGAAAGCAGCTCAGGATGTGGCAACCCAGAGGCAAAGAGACAGTCACCCCACCACAGACATAATATGTACCCCCAAAAAACACCCCCAATGAGCTACCTCCAGCTATACCCTATCTGCCTATAGTTACCAACCTATCAGTGAATCCCTATCAGTGAATCAATTCACTGATTAGGTTAAGGCTTTCATAACCCAATCATTTCACCTGAAAACTCTTGCATTAAGCTTTTGGGGGAAAACCTTTAATCTAAACCATAACACCCAGGGAATGGTAAAGAGGTGTAAAGGAAAGTAATATGAAGTGATATTTGATCTGATTTTAAAAGATGAGTAGTCAGGATTTCACCAAGAAGTTGAGAACAGAACAGGGAAGTCAGAGAACCACCAGGGCAGTCGACGGTTTGCATAGTAGCTCAGTTCTGGATGAATGCCACCTCATTTAGATCTCAACCTAGACATCACTTCTGCCAAGCCTTCCTGACACTCCCCTGCAGGAGGTTCAATGTCTCATATTTATGCTAAGAGCTCTCTCCAGCTCTATATGCTATGAATAATGTTTCTAATATGAAATTTTAAACCTGAGATCTATAAAGCAATTCATCAGGAGCAACCACTTTTTGTTGTACATATGTGGCACTCTTTTTGTGTAAAAAAACTTAAGGCATTAACATGAAATAAATTTTGATAGTAATAATTCTTTTTTTGTTAGAGATAAAGAGGGTGGTTTGGTGGAAAAATAGGAAAGAGGTGAACATAAAGAGATATACAAGCCTGGCATTTTACAATTTTGAAGATGCATAATCACTACCATGCTGAATGTCAGTATTTCAGTTTCATTTTCTTTTAACAGATCTGTAATGGAGTAAAAGCCTTTTGACCCCATAGCCATGCCACCACATTTCCTTTATATAGGCGAACTAGAGCTACAGGGTTAGACTCACTTTTAAATAGCAGCCTCTCTCCTTTACATTACATTTCAGTGTCAAATCTCACAAATGACCAGTGAGACATTCTTCCTGCATAGAGAAGGGTTTCAGGAGTGTTAGCAAGTCTCTGCAGGCTACCAGGAACTGAGTGTGCAAGTTTAATTCATACATTTTAAACGACAGCATCTCACTCAAAAGTGCCATCTTTGGAAAAGAATGTAGACTTAGACAAACTAACAAGGCTTTGTTAGAGTGGACATTTACAAACATTAATTATGAAAAACTGCTGAAGCATTTAGCTGCCTACATGTGAATTCCAGCTATTTTATGACAGTTGCTTTCGAGAATCATAACTCTGTGGCAACAGCCTTATTGGAAACCCCGAGATTAGTAATGACTTTATTCAGCACATAGCTGGAGGCAAGACTGGCTACAAAGCCAAGGCCCCTGAGAATAGTGATCCTGTCATTGCAGGTCGTATTTCCCCAGAAGCATAAGCATTAATTTCTTTCGCCTTTTCAGGGGTCTCTGTGCCTTCCCTGCCCTGTCTTTTTAACACAAAGAGGTGATAAATTTGTTGCTTCTATCCTTTGTATTAAGCTGGTGTTTAGTGGATAATTACTTTAGTGGAAAAACTGTAAGTATTATAATAATGATAATAATAATTTGCTAGTCATTTCTTATACTTTAACCCATTTATTCTTAGTTTTAAGAGCTCAGTAAGGACATTCCCTTCCCCGATTGCACAATAAGAGTACCTGTAGAACTTTAAGTAATTTCTCTAGAATATATTGCTAGCAGTTTAATTCAAAGCCAGTTTTTCTGATTTCAGATTTCAGGCTCTTGACCACCATTTTTACCATTCTATGTTCTTAGGTCCCCAGCTGACCTTTCCATTCTGAGCCATAGCTGTAGTCTACTGGCAACGGAATTCTGCCCTTTAAAATGCATTGTAACTAAGAAGCTCTGGAGACTGACAGATGTGTATTTGAGCTGCAGCTCTGACATTTCATGATTGCAGTATTTTCCAAGTTAATTAAATCTTTCAATCCTCAATAATGAGTAAAAATTAGGAAGAGTTGAATGGAGTAGCTCTAGCATTAGTGCTTAGCACTAGGCATGGCACAGAGTAAGGGAGAAGTCTACTCTGGGCCTGCTCCCATGCCAGGTCCCTTATGAAGTCTTCATGCCTTCTCCAGCCAGGTGGTGCTGTCCCACAGCTTTTACCCTTCACAGCTTTCTAGAATTTGTTTTCTCTTTGCAGCTACTTGTTTCTTCTTTATAGACTGGAGGTCAGTGAAGTATTGGATTGATACCTGCGCCTCTTAACATCTACAAAAAGTCAAGCTCAGTAAATAGTGCCTATCTTTTTTTGATCAAATATGTGGCCACATTTCTGTCAAAGAATTGTGTAGTATTTTAGGATGGAAGAGCCAGTAGAAATGTAGTTAGTTCTCACTTAGGCAGCACACATACTGAAATTGGAACAATACCAAGAAGATTACCGTGGACTCTGGGCAAAGATGACCTGAAAATTTGTGAAGCATTTTGTATTTAAAAAATATATAATTAGACACCAAAATATTAGGGTTTCTAGGATATTTTTATTTTTCTGAGCAGAGTATGCAGCCAGGATTATAACCTGAGATCAATGCATAGATTCATCATGTTTTAAATACTTATGCATTGATTCAATTATATGTTCCCAATTTCTTCATTTTGGTCTTAAAGTATATCATTATAAAAAGAATAATGCTGGTATGACAGTAGCCCAGATATGGAATCAACCCAACTCATAGATAAACAGAAAAAGAAAATGTGCTGTACATATAAAATAGGATACCACTCAGTCTTTAAAAACAAGGAAATCATGTGCAACAACATGGATGAACCCAGACAGCACTGTGTTAAATGAAACAAACCTGGCACAAAATGACAAATATTGCATGATCTCACTTATTTAGGAAATAAAAAAAGTCAAGTTCATAAAAGCAGAGAACAGAACCTGGGTTACCAGGGGCTAAGGCAGGGGGTTGGGTACAGAGAGATGATAATTTTTTTTTAAAAAGTAGAAAATTTCAGTTAGGAGAAATAAGTTCTGGAGATCTATTATATAACATAGTGAATACAGTTAATAACAATATATTATATAACTATAAAATTGATAAAAGAGTAGATTTTCAGTGTTCTTACTTCGATAAAATAAGTATGTGAGGTAATGCATACATTAATTAGTTTGACTTATCCATTCCCTAATGTATACAAGTTTCAAAACAACATATTATACAACACAGATTTTTGTCATGACAAAAAGAAGGCTAAATGGGAACAGTTATGGTTTAGATATGAGGTGTCCCACAACAGCTCATTCATGAAGCAATGCAAAGAGGTCAAATGAATAGATTATAAAATCCTTAACCTAATCAGAACCTAAATCCAGTTGAATGAATTAACTGGGTGGTAACTATAGTCAGATAGGGTGTGTGTGGCTGGAGGAGGTGGGTCACTGTGGGCATGTACCTGGTGAGCAGAGCTCTTTCTCTGCTTCCTGATGGCCACTGCCTGCTTTCCTCCTCCACACCCTCTGCTTCATGTTGAGCCCAGAGCTAAGAGTCAGCTGTCTGTGGACTGAGACCTCTAAAACCATAAGCCTCAAATAAACATTTCCTCCTCTACTTTGTTCTTCATAGGTCTCTTGATCACAATAATGAAAAAGCTGACTAAAACAGAAACTTTTAAACCTGGAAATTTTATTTAAAGGAATAATTCTGAGTTTACCTGAACACTAAAAAAATATAAAAGGACTACTCCTGGGAGTAGGTAAGCTCAAGATGATTTCAAATGGGGCGCCATGCTTGGGATCTCCAAAAGTCATAGAGGAGCAGCCTTGGTGAGAAAGAACAGGGGTGTCATTTGCTCATGTTGAGTTCACTCCCTTCTCTGTTTTTCTCACTCAAGAGGTTATTTATATATTTATTTATTTATTTATTTTTGCCAAGATCTAAATAAGTCTGTAAAGAACCAAGAACAGAAGGGCTTTTTAATATAAGAAGCCTCCCGTAAGTGTAGACCCTCAAGGATCATGATTTTTGCACATCCCCTAGTGGTGTCTGTTATTGAAGTACCTTGAGGACAGTGCTTATAGGCTACTTCATATCTTCCACCTAAATCAATGGTAGAAATGGAAAACAATCAGATTGTCCATCTTCCTGGGTTGTGAGCCCAATAAGAGCACAACTTTCCTTCTTTGTTTAAATTGTCAAACAGTCGAATGTGATAAGTACTATAGATCCCTGTGCCTCTCACCCCATTTTAAAGGTGAGAAATGTTGAGGTCTTGAGAATTAAATGGTTTAATCCAAATCACATAGGTGACAGTTAAACTCCATAGCATATACTGTACCAGATGCCCTTCAAAGAGGCCTGTGAGCCAGAATCCCCTGGCAGCAACTATAGAAAAATCCCCAAGATCACCAAGGCTCTCCCATATATTTCGATGCAATCAGACCAAAAATTTGGGTAGCTCTACTCTAAAACACTACATGATATTTCCTCTTTAGTAAATGTCTGTTAAATGAGTGAGTGGTGTCTGTTATTCTTCCATTAACAATCTATTCCTGCATTAAGTCTTGCTCTTGAGCAACAATCCTCCGTTTAAAATGCAAATAATCCTGGGAGACTTTCCATCGTCTCTAATATCTTCTTCAGAGATGTCATAACAGAGAACTCAGATACTCTGATATAGGAGGTGCATGATATAATGGAGTAGGGCCACAAGGATAGAGTAAAATTCACATCTTTGATACCTCATAATGTTGTCAGAGGCTTCTACTGCCTGACCCTACAGCTATGAGAAGGAAATGTAGGGTTCACCTAAAATTCCTTCAAGTGTTTGATGTTATAAAGCCCCTGTGAGGACTGGTCCTTAGTTGAACAAGGCTTCTATCCCTCCTCCATATCATCTGCTGCGGTCAGACATCCTCAATGACAAAGAATTTCTGGATGGTCTACAAACACCCATCTGTGTGCTGGGACACTTCAGGTGTTCTCCTTTGTGCTCTTTAAGCACACACCTGAAGGGTGGGATCTCTCTTCATGGTCACGAGCTTCTCTCAAAAGCTGACCTTAAGGCTCTTATGCAAAAGCAGCACAAGTGTCCATTAGGTGATGAGTGGATATATAACATACAGTTTGTCCACACAAGGGAATATTATTCAACAGTAAAAATAAATGAAGTGCCAGATGTGGTGGTGCCCACCTGTAATCCTAGCAACTTGGGAAGCTGATCAGGAGG